TTATATTTTTTGAAATATATATGTGTGTGTGTGTGTGTGTGTGTGTGTGTGTGTGTGTGTGTGTGTGTGTGTGAGACTCACACAGACTCTGTAACTCCAGCCAGGAGAACATGCCATTCCTCTCAGATCACTGCAGGAAGGGCGCTCAACGCTCTCTCGGCCAGTTCTGATCCAAAAGCTGCTTTGCTGTGTAACATCTGCATACGCAGCATCTTCACTGAAATGGAGGCTCATGAAAGACTCGATGTAGACACGTCATATAATAAAACACAAGAGACTCAACTCAGTATATGTGTATGTTTCTAACCTAATGACATGATACTCTAATAAACATCAAAATACACACAAATAAATAAAACATCCTGTTTTAATTAGATAAGAACTATATGAGAAAAAAAATTATGATATACTACAATATATATATTATTACATAAATATAAAATTTTTATATATGTGTGTCTGTATATTTTATATATAAACATTTATATCATTTTTACTATAGTTTTTATTTTTGTTTTGATTAAACAATTAGAAAAATGTATTATGTAATTGTTTTATATATAAAGAGAGAGATCAAGAGGGTTTTTGCTATTTTAAATAATTTAAGAAAAAATTATGTATTATTGTGTGTGTGTGTGTGTGTGTGTGTGTGTGTGTTTATATATAAAGAGAGAGATCAAGAGGGTTTTTGCTATTTTAAATAATTTAAGAAAAAATTATGTATTATTGTGTGTGTGTGTGTGTGTGTGTGTGTGTGTGTGTGTGTGTGTGTGTGCGTGTGTGCGTGTGTGTGTGCGTGTGTGTGTGCGTGTGTGCGTGTGTGTGTGTGTCCATCCCGGTGGGGACTTAAACCTGAATACACACAGACTCATGGGTACTCGTGTCACTGTGGGGACCTAAATTGAGGTCCCCACGGGTAAACAAGATTATAAATCATACAGAATGAAGTTTTTTGAAAATCTAAAAATGCAGAAAGTTCCCTGTAAGGGGTAGGTTTAGGTGTAGGGTGATACGATATACAGTATGTACAGTAGAAAAACCATTAGGCCTATGGATAAGGATAGCAAACCAGACATGAGTGTGTGTGTCTCTGTGTGCGTGCGTGCGTGCGTGTGTGTGTGTGTGTGTGTGTGTTTGTGTGTGACACACGTGTGTGTGTGTGTGTGTGAGACTCACACAGACTCTGTAACTCCAGCCAGGAGAACATGCCATTCCTCTCAGATCACTGCAGGAAGGGTGCGTAACGCTCGCTCGGCCAGAAAACGGGATCTAATTCCCCTTGCGTTCGGAGCAGCGCAGATTCATTTATTCTGGATCAATCACTTTAAACGTGTGTTTAGTCTCGATGAGCAGTTTAATTCTGTGTCAGTTCAATAGTATTGAGTTGAGCGCTGTGAGGTTCAGGAGAGAACGACGCTGCGCTACGAGGAGCGAATCACAGAGCTGCACAGCATTATCGCAGAACTCAACAAGAAGATAGACCTGCTGCAGGGAGCCACCATCAGGTCTCTCACACACACACGCACACTCAAACTCAAACACTCACAGAGACACACTCACACACACCACATGCATGCACACACACACTTGAACTCAAACCCTCACAGAGACACACACCACATGCACACACATACACACACACACACACACTCAAACCCCCACAGAGACACACACCCCATGCATGCACACACACACACACAAACTCAAACACTCACAGAGACACACATACACCACATGCATGCATGCACACACACTCAAACTCAAACCCTCACAGAGACACACACCACATGCATGCACACACACTCAAACTCAAACACTCACAGAGACACACATACACCACATGCATGCATGCACACACACTCAAACTCAAACACTCACAGAGACACACATACACCACATGCATGCATGCACACACACTCAAACTCAAACACTCACAGAGACACACATACACCACATGCATGCATGCACACACACTCAAACTCAAACACTCACAGAGACACACATACACCACATGCATGCATGCACACACACTCAAACTCAAACCCTCACAGAGACACCCCCCACATGCACACACACACTCAAACCCCCACAGAGACACACACCACATGCATGCACACACACACCCACACACACTCAAACTCAAACACTCACAGAGACACACACACACTCAAGAGTCTAACACATACAACATAGAACAGACAGAGCGCCCTCAAGTGGCCAGTCCAGGGCACCACAACCAACACTGTGACACGCTTAGAGAACAGTTGTGTTTGGACCACACATTTACATTCATGCTTTTAGCAGATGCTTTATCTAAAGCAGCTTACAGTGCAGGAACATAAACATGCACACGTACAGTAAGAGTGTGTGTGTGTGTGTGTGTGTGCGCGAGCGCAGCTGTCTGAGGTCGGTCTGGTCTTCAGCGCCGGCGGTGGTCTCGTCTGCAGAGACTCCTGGGAGAGTTTTACCCTTCAGCATCTGACCGGAGATACGCCGATCATCTCTACTTTTGCTCCTAAAGCTTGTGGGCTGCTTCCCATAGGCAGAAAACTTCAGCTCAAATACAAAGAAATACAGAATTATAAATTGCATAATAATAATTAAGCCCATTTTTAAGACTATTATGTTTTTAATGACATTTAAGCTCATTTATACACATAATTGTAATTACTGTAATGCATCTGAGTTTGATAGTAATCTCATTATTTTTATTGATCCTCAATAGATTTGCTGTAAAAAATAAATTCCGTAAAAAACCGGCAACTGTGGTTGGCAACATTTTACTGTAAAAAATACGGTAGCAGCATTTTAGGTTTTACGGTTTTAACTTAAAATTTACAGTTAAATACCGTAATTTCGCTAACTGATATAATGCTAATATACCAACCCACTGAAGTACTGAAATCTGTTTTGTACCTTTGTAAACACTGCACCAAAAGCAGGTGATGAGAAAGTCACACGATGAACCAAAGCCCATCACAAGCAGCTTTTAAATATTAACATATATAGAAGGTGCACAGCGTCATTCACACAAACACTAAACACCTTCACGGTGACACACATGAAACTGAAATAATGCAATTAATGCAAGCATTAATTGAACAACATTATATGTGACATACAACCCTAATGTACACAACTGATAAGAAAAAACTAAGAAGAAACATAGTTAATTTAACTAAAAATCATCAAATTTGAAATGTAATGCAGGGCATTCTGGGAATGTCAATTTACGGTTATTCACTGTAAATTATATTATCTTTTTCACTTCCAAAAACGGTGTACTACCGTAAGATTACATGTAATGTCCAAGTTTTTCACCGTATATAGTAGGGGAACTTACCATTAACTATTGAACAGGTTTTTACTGTAGCATTTTTACAGTCTTTTACAGTTAAATTCACGGTCAGTTTTTACAGTGAACCGTAATACAGCTGGTTTTTTAATTAAAAACAGGTCTAACTAAAGGCATTACAAGAAATAGTGCCCTGATTTATGAACCGTTTACAGTTGACAGTGTTTGATTACATTACTGAGAATTAGGCAAGAAAATGTGTTTATTTGTCATAAAAAATAATGACATAATAAATATAAATGCAAAATAATAATGTCTTGAAAGTAATGTCATCATAATGCTAATGTAAAATAATACATATAGATGTCAAATTATGTCATGAAAATAATGACAATAATGCAAATATATAATAATAAAATAAATATAAATGTAAAATTATAATGGTTTGGAAATAATGCCATAATGCAAAATATTAAATGTAAAACAATAATCATTAAAAATAATAACAAAATAATGTAAATGCAAAATAGTAAATGTAAAATAGCAATGTATTGAAAATAGTGTCATAGTATTGCAAATGTAAAATAATAGTTGTTAAAATAATGGCAAAATAAGGTCTTGAAAATGTCATAATAATGCAAATGTAAAACAATGTGAATATAAAATTAGTCTTACAAATAATGTCAGTAATGAAAATGTAAAATAATAAATATAAATGTAAAGTAGTACTGTCATGAAAATAATATCATAATAATTCAAATGTAAAATAATACAATTAAATGTAAAATAATGTCATGAATATAATGCCATAATAATGCAAACATAAAATTTAGTGGCTTAATTTTCTTTATGCAACATATACTTTTCCAAATGGATTGTATTACAAATATTGTTGGCTCTCAAATTGCTTTGCTTCTCTTTTGTAAGTGGCTTTGGATAAATGCACAAATGTAAATGCTGGCTGAAGTGTTGTGTGTGTAAGCAGCTGACGAGGGTTCGGAGCGGAGCTTCTGTATTCACTGCGCACAGAAAAGCTTCCCTCTAAAGCCTCTTACTGTGATTTATAGCTTTGTAACTCTGCTCAATGACAGATATCAGCTGCTTTAATGCTCCTTTAAATCTCCGTCCGGGTAAATGTTACTCAAGCGTGTCTCGTTTTGTCATTTGGCCTGGAAACCCAGCAGGAGATGAGTGTCTCCTTTCATCGTTTATTCTGAAGATATCGCGTTCATCTTACTAAACGAACTGCATGACAATAGCTTGATTCGTTGCCCAGCTCATGAATAGTGAGTTGTGAAGGGAGATGCGGTGAACTGGTAACCGTGTGTCCAGCTGCATGTGAATGAGATCCACTCCAGTGTTTAATTAGAAACGCCTCATATGTATGCAGCAGGTGGGGCTTTGCATCCTCGTTAGGGAAATTAGAATATGCCGAATGACTCCAGGCCTCTGTTGACTTTCAAATTCGTCCCCGAATCATAACTCTGTAGTTTGATCATTTGATAAAATAGCTGTTGTATGCAGTATTTAGGGGGTAGCTTTTTATTATCGCAAATAGAAACATGACTAAATGCAATTTATTTATTTGCTAAGATCTTCTAATTGGTATTACCTTTGTTTTAGCTTTTTTCCGTGGTAAAAAAAACAAAAACAGAATTGCATGATGTATGAATGGAATTTATACTTGCGAATTTTATCTCACAATTGGGACTTTTTTCTTGCAATTCTGAGAAATAAGAAGATATAAACTCAGAACTGCAATATATAATCTCAGAATTGTGAGATATAAGCTGAGAATTGCGAGATTCACACTTCTGAGGGGAAAAAAAAAAGTCTGAATCGCAAGTTATAAAAAAAAAAACATGCCGTTTCTGAGAAAAAAGTGAGAATTGCGAGAGATGAACAGAATTCTAGAGGGGGAAAAATCTGAATTCCGAGAAAAAAGTCAGAACTCTGAGGCTACGTTTAAACTAGTGCGTTTTTGTTTTAAAACGGCATTTTAAAATGAAAACGATCCTCATCTACACTGGCGGTTTCACTGCGTTTCAGAAACGATCTCCATCCACACTACACAACCGAAAGCGCATGTCACATGACCATTCATGCAGGTGCAACCATAGATATGTATAGGTAGATGCTCTATTATTTAGATGGCGGACGCTTCTACGTGCTTTGAGCGGTCGAATGGGGAATCTACCAATGCGTATCTATGGGTACAGCAATGAGCATGATGTTATTGTTTACACGGTCATCACGGATACGCAGAGCGAATGTGGGCAGCCATGCCATCGTTTTCAAAAGTCTCCGTTTTGCTCCGTTTACACTGAAGCGCAACCCCGAAGTTTTCAAACTAAAACAGCATTTTCAAAAGTCTCCGTTTTCGAGGGCCGAGAACACCGGGGTAGTGTAAATGACAGGCGTAACCGTAGCAAAAAGTTATGCGTTTTAAAACGAAAACGCACTAGTGTAAACGTAGCCTGAGAATAATCTCAGAATTCTGAGAACAAGTCAGAATTCCGAGAACAAAGTCAGAATTCCGAGACCAAAGTCAGAATTCCGAGACCAAAGTCAGAATTCCGAGACCAAAGTCAGAATTCCGAGACCAAAGTCAGAATTCCGAGAACAAGTCAGAATTCCGAGAATAAAGTCAGAATTATGACACAAAAGACAGATTTTTGAGATGTAAACTCCGAATTATGTAAGAAAAAAATGTAAAAAACATTATTACTTCAAATCTTTTTATTGGTATTTTGTGTGACAATGCAGATTGAAATAATGATAATTAAGACATTGTCCATTATTAATCCCCTCCACAATCCCCCCCATTCATATTAACTCAGATGGACAGGAAAACAGTAAATGAAATAAAGAAAGAAACAATAACAAATAAAATAAAATAGATATAATTAACCAATATATAAGTAAGTAACCAAAAAAAAAAATTCCTTCTTACAGATGACAAACATTACATGTTGCCAGTTACAGGTGCACAAGGTAGGCCTTTAATATAGTCCAAAAAGGGATCCCAAGTCTTATAAAAGGATTTGAGTGAACCAGAGAGTGAGCATCTTAACTTTTCAAGTCTGGGAAAAGAGAAAAAACATAATTTTTTTTTAATCTTTGGAGGAATCACGCTTCCATAGATTGGTGCTCACACTCTCAAAAAATCAGGATCAACAGAACATCTCACTTTCTGCGCCGATTCTTCTCATTCATCATAACGTGTGTGTGTTTCTCAGGGAGGAGGATGAGCTTTCCGAGCTTCGCTCCGATCTCAGTCACAGCCAGCAGGAAGTTAACGAGGACGACCGGAGCGTCGATCAGGACCCCGACCAGGCGTCCATCTCACTGCCTGAGAACCAGTCCACGCTGGTCACTGCAGACATGGGTAAGAGCAGCAGTCAAAAGCCTGATGGATTATTATATTTCCAAATCCAGTCTCAGAAATGCAGACTGACAGACAGGAAACCTGCCGGAAATAGGAAACATGATTTATGATGAACGGAATCTCAGCCTGTCAAGAACATGTCCGTATTACATTGCAACATCAAAAGAATGAAAGTATATTTTAATTTTTCAATGTGATGCCTTTTTTGGAAATATTGCATTTTTTATTTATTTATTATGACATTATGAAATCACATTTGAACTGCAAAATGTTCATTACTATAATGCAAAAAAGATATCGACATTACAGTAATGAACATTATGCAATATAAATGTGCTTAATTGTTATAATGCAAGTGTAAAATAATACATGTAATATGAAAATAATACAATTAATTGCAAAATGCCATTTAAAAATGACAATGCAAATTCAAAATAATGAATGTAAATATAAAATAAAACTCTTACAAATGTTATAATAATGCAAATGTAAAATAAAAATAACATATTATAATGTCATTGCAATAATATATATATATATTTACATGATGAAAATGTAAAATAATAAATATAGATGTAAAATAATGTCATGAAAATATTGTCGTAATAAGCTACAAAATGAAGCGTTGTAAAAATCGAAGTGTTTCAGAAAGGCGGGGCATAGAGGAGAAACAATAATGTACAGTATGTGGAAAATAATGTGTTTTTTGAACCTTAAACTGCATAAAATATTCACTGGAAATATTGGCCTCATTTGTGTTTTCACTCACAGACAGCAGTGAGATCTCCAGTGGTTCTTCCAGACAGCAGTGAAGGTCATTAGAGAGCAAATAAAGGCTTTTGCTGAGAGAGAGAAAAATCAGCTCTGTGCATGCGTGCAGTTCGTGTTTCCCGTAGTGCTTCGGTCTTGGTTTATAATGGCAGACAGACTCGTTTTGCTGAGCGTAATCGTCGTCTTCGCTCTGCTTTCTTTTGTTTTTCCACTCGATCGAGCCGATACGCTTCACACAAAAGCGTTTAAAGGCCTCAGCGTTCGGGGTGCTGTCATTGTCCCTTCAGTCTAATGGCGTTTTTCATCACGAGTGTATTGTAGGAGCATTCCCAGCATGCATCACTCCCGTCTGTGAAAGGAAATGACATTCAGATTCTACAGTTTTTGTTTTTGCCATGATTAAAACAGCTTTGCATTACAAAAGTGGAAATAACGGAGTAAATTTTAAATTACAATTTTATATTCAGACTTTTAGTATAATTGATGAACTATTACAGTTTTAGTGAATATTGTAAATTAGATTTTATTATTTATATTTTGTTTCCGTTTAATTTTAGGTAAAGTTTTAGTCATTTTGTTTTGGGTTCTTTTGTAATTTTTATTATTTTTATTATTTTATTTTTATTCAGCTATGTCGTTTTTGTGAAGTTTAACGTTTTAGTTAATTTAGTTTTAGTTATTTCAGTATTAAACTAAATGAAAATGAGAAATGTTGCTTTGGCAACTATCTGAAATAAAATAATTTATTTCAGTTTTTTTTTTTTTTTTTAATTATTTCAAGCAGTGAATGTTTTTATGCTTTTAGCTTTAGTTAGAAAATAACCCTGTTATATATAAACGTTTTAGTTAATTTAGTTTTAGTTATTTCAGTATTAAACTAAATGAAAATGAGAAATGTTGCTTTGGCAACTATCTGAAATAAAATAATTTATTTCAGTTTTTTTTTTTTTTTAAATTATTTCAAGCAGTGAATGTTTTTATGCTTTTAGCTTTAGTTAGAAAATAACCCTGTTATATATATATTCAGATATATATAAATATATGTATAATATATATTTATGTATATACTGTATATACAGTCAAACCCAAGTTTATTCAGACACCTTCAACATTTCTCACATTATCACAGTTTATTCGCTATAGTTTAGAAAATGGTAATAAAATATGAGAAGAACTCAAGAGTTAAACTGTGTCAGAACAAACTCATCTTGATAATGTCAGATAACTTTGATAGAAAGGTATGTAATGGATTCTGTTGTCAGCTGTTAAATTTAAGAACATAATTAGATAAAACCAATTTAGCTCAACCAGACTTTTTGGGTATAATATGTCACAGTTTACTTTATTTTGCTATCCTCACTTACATAAATGAACTATAGTGTCCTGCACCCACTAGTAAAAATTATTTTATTTGTTTTATTTTTAACAAAGTGCAGACTGTATCATTGACTTCATACAAAACTAAACTTCAGAATCGTGCCTTTAAAGTGTTGAATCAATTCTGGAGGCTCAGTGTGAAGCTCATCCAGTGTTTCTCCCACAAGTGTTTTTATGTTTCATGGTTAATGTATGACGGCACATTGCCTGCAGTTGTGAATATTAATACAGCTCTGGATCAATAATCTGCTCATGTCAGCGATCGTATTGAGCTCTGATTTACTCCGGTTTTTTCATTTCATTTTCCTGCTGGACGCTGGATGAGCAGCTTTGGATAATATTATTACAGGTTAGGCAGGAGACTTCATGGAGTTCTCAGGTATGGTTAATGTCAATTATTGAAGTGATTTCTGTAAATTGAGCTCATATTGAGATCTCTGACTTCTGATGCAGACTTTGGCAAATCTAAGGGCAATTTGAGACATTGCTGAGATCTCGTCTGAAGCTTTAGAAGAGACACTTGTCAAATTTCAGATTTCAGCAGAAGTCTCTGTTTGCTCCCTACTTTGATCTCATTGCTGTGAAGGAGAAACGAAGTTGAGACATTATAGTATTTGTATTTGTGTTTTTTCTTTACTATACTTTTATATGCTATTTTTTTTTAAAATCTTATCAATTTTTTTAAAAACTGTTTATTAAATGTTTTCATATTGCGTTCTTTAATTTGATTTTATTAGCTCTCCTATTATTCTTAGAATTGTTTGTGCTTTGTAAATAAATGGCTCGGCTAGAATAGAATGCGAGTGCAGTTTCATGCTGGAGAAATTCCCAGTAATGGCCTGCAGGTTGACTGAGATGCGTGTGTTTTTCCAGATAACTGCAGTGACCTGAACTCGGAGCTGCAGCGGGTTTTGACGGGGCTGGAGAGCGTCCTCTGCGGCCGCAAGAAGAGCACATGTAGCCTGTCCGTGGCGGAGGTGGACAGACACATCGAGCAGCTGACCTCCGCCAGCGAACACTGCGATCTGGCCATCAAGGTAAAACACCTGACAGATGCAGTACAGGAGCCCACAGACACTATATAGTGCACAGTACCACAAACTGCAGTCTGACTGGCTGGCTCCGTTCGCAAAGAGCTTGATTGACAGGCGATCTGACCAATCATAACGCCAAAAAATCCGCCATCTGCCGGAGAGTTGATTTACTTCGGTGGACTCAAACTTGAAATAAAATACACTTTGATGTTCATTCATGTTTATTTCATGCTATCAGTAAATATGAAAAGACGATCAATTCACATGCTGCTTTATGACATGTGACATGTGGCCAAGTATGGTGACCCATACTCGGAATTAGTGCTCTGCATTTACCCATCCAAAGTGAACACACACAGCAGTGAACACACACAAACCGTGAACACACACCCGGAGCAGTGGGCAGCCATTTATGCTGCGGCGCCCGGGGAGCAGTTGGGGGTTCGGTGCCTTGCTCAAGGGCACCTCAGTCGTGGTATTGAAGGTGGGAGAGAGCGCTGTACATTCACTCCCCCCACCTACAATCCCTGCCGGTACGAGACTCGAACCCACAACCTTTGGGTTATGAGTCCGACTCTCTAACCATTAGGCCACGACTTCCCACGACTTCCAACTGAGGCAATTCAGTGATCTCTCACGACACATTAAAGAGCCACAAAACACTATTTATTGTTTGAATTTCTCTAAAAATTACAGCATTTGAAAGCTGAGACCTTGTTTCATACCAGTCTGTCAGTGTGTTGTCAGTTTCCTCTTTGCTCCGCGATGAAAACACTGCGTGAGAAAATGATGTGTAATATGAGAGAGGCACGGACATAGCAACGGTAACTAAGGAGTACGTAACTATCCACTTTGACACTTCTGCAGCTTGATTTGGTAAAACCCTGTCAGCATGGACCGGAAGAGACCTTGTGATTTGAAAATCTGGAAAACTTTTGTCTAATGTTGTGACTAGTTCTTTGGTGAAGAGCGATGCATTAAAGTTATTCATGTGTGGAATAATCTGGGAATTCAGATCACAAAATGTCTTAAAATATTCCCACTCATTTCTTGTTTTTTAAAAGGTTTTTTTTTTTAAAGAAAAAAAACTTCTGTTCACCAAAGCTGCATTTATTTGATCAAAAATACAAAATAAAATGTGAAAAATTATTGCACTTTTAAATAGCTGTTTTCTGTGTGAATATACATTAAAATTTAATTTATTTCTGTGATGCGCAGCTGAGTTTTCAGCATCATTATTCTAGTCTTCAGTGTCACATGATCTTCAGAAATCATTTTAATATGCTGATTTGCTGCTCGAGAAACATTTCTGATTATTATCAATGTTGAAAATGTCGTGCTGCTCAATATTTTTGTGGAAACTGTGACGCATTTTATTTTTCAGGAATCACAGATGAATAGAAAGTTCAAAAGAACAGCATTTATTTGAAATAAAAATATGCTGTCACATTATAAATGTCTTTGTTTGATCTATTATTAAGAAAAATATTAATTAAAATTTTTTTTTTAATGATCATGTATTTTAGATTCACTCACCCCTAAATGGTGCACAAAAACAGAGCAAACAGTGATTGGTCTCTTTAGCTGTCAATCAGTCAGTCTCTTCCTGTCCAAGTGGGCGGTTCTTGGCCAAAATGAGCTGCAGAGTAGACTCGACTTCACAATATCTCATGTTGATAGTCAAAGTCTGAGACTGTGCAGCTGAATGACTCCATATTTCATATTTATACACACTTGTTCCCTCTGCTCATGCTATCAATAATTCAATACAGGCTGTAGGATGTTTATTATGTATATACTGTATAAAGACACACACATACAGAATATATTTTGAAAATATTTACTTGTATTGACATGTATATATTCATATAATGTATATATAAATATATTTAATATATACACGTAACATATATCTTTTTTATATATACATGCATGTGTGTGTATTTATATATACATAATAAATATACACAGCACACACGCATATATTATGTAAAAACGTTTATTTTGGATGCGATTAATCGTTTGACAGCACTAATTTAATTACATAATGCATCATTTGCATGTCAGAAAAAGTGTAATACAAAAAAATTGTCTTAATGTACTGTGATTTATTCAACTGGGAGCGTATGGTGAGATTAATTACTTTTTCACCCTATTCGCCTTGCATTATTTTACTTTATGAACTTTACTATTATTGTTGAGCATTTTTAAAGCTTTATATATAAATGAGCTGACTAAAGTGCAAAGGTTTTGAGTGCAGTTTCATGTGGAAATGTCTCCTCCTTTTTTGCCACAGAGCACTTAAACAAGGAGTTTGCCCTTAAAAGTATGCACTTACTCTTGCAAGTTACATAAAACCTTCAGTCTTCTTCAGTGTCACATGATGATTCTTCAGATATCATTCTAATATGTGACCCTGGAGCACAAGTGTCCATTTTTTTTTATTGAGATTTGTGCATCATCTGAAAGCTGAATAAATAATCTTTCCATTGATGTATGGTTTGTTAGGATAGGACAATATTTGGCAGAGATACAACTATTTGAAAATCTGGAATCTGAGGGTGCAAAAAAATCTAAATATTGAGAAAATCATCTTTAAAGTTGTCCAAATGAAGTTCTTAGCAATGCATATTACTAATCAAACATTAAGTTTTGATATATTTACAGTAGGAAATTTACTAAATATCTTCATGGAACATGATCTTTACTTAATATCCTCATGATTTTTGGCATAAAAGAGAAATGGATAATTTTGACCCATACAATGTATTGTTGGCTATTGCTACAAATATCCCCCAGCGACTTAACACTGCTTTTGTGCTGCAGGGTCACATATGCTGATTTGCTTGCTGCTCGAGAAACATTTCTGATTATTGTCAATGTTGAAAACAGTCGTGCTGCACAATATTTTTGTGGAAACCGTGATGCATTTTACTTTTCAGGATTCACAGATGAATAGAAAGTTCAAAAGAACAGCATTTATTTGAAACATGGGAATGTCGCATGAGGCTGAAAGCTGTGTGTGTTTGCAGACGGCGGAGGAGATTGAGGGCGCTCTGGGCCGGGACTTCTACCCCAGTCTGTGTGAGGAGCGTGTGCGCTGGGAGAAGGAGCTGGCTGGACTCCGGGAGGAGAACGAGAGCCTGACGGCGATGCTGTGCAGTAAAGAGGAGGATCTCAACCGCACCAAAGCCACCATGAGCGGCATCCGAGAGGAGCGAGACCGCCTGCGCAGACGCGTGAGTGACGCTACCCTCAAACCACGCATTAAAGGGGTCCTATTATGCTCTTTTACAAAGTTTTGATTTTGTTTTGGGGGTGTACTAGAACAGGCTCTCATACTAGGTTGCTCGAAAAACACATTATTTTTCACATATTTTACGTTATTGCACGCCTCTCTCCCCAGTCTGGCACGAACGGCTCGAATAGTTCCTGTATCAAATGAAGGCCCGCCTTCTGAAATACGTGTTGTGATTGGTTAGCTGGACCAGTGTGTGCTGTGATTGGTCAGCTGGGCCAGTGTGTGCTGTGATTGGTCAGCTGGACCAGTGCGTGCTGTGATTGGTCAGCTGGGCCAGTGTGTGCTGTGATTGGTCAGCTGGGCGAGTGTGTGCTGTGATTGGTCAGCTGGGCGAGTGTGTGCTGTGATTGGTCAGCTGGGCGAGTGTGTGCTGTGATTGGTCAGCTGGACCAGTGCGTGCTGTGATTGGTCAGCTGGGTCAGTGCGTGCTGTGATTGGTTAGCTGGGCCAGTGTGTGTTGTGATTGGTTAGCTGGGCCAGTGTGTGTTGTGATTGGTTAGCTGGGCTGGGCCAGTGTGTGTTGTGATTGGTTAGCTGGTTACTTTTACTGTTATCCTCTTAATCAACACACTTAACCTAAATAAATAACCTAAATAAAATGGAAAACAATCAAATAAAATCTACTATCACTATTATGCTCTTGATCAATACACTTAACCTAAATAAAATTAAATGAAAAAAAAAAATGACAGAAGTGTTATCTTGTTCAAATAAATATTATTTGCTCTTATCTGCACATTTGTGTCTCATGTCAGAGACACATAAAGACACAGCAGGCGATGCTCCAGATTCAACGAGCACGGACAGATTTCATTAGAGATAAATCGCAGGCCGTTTGTGTGTCTTAGGTCTGACCCGGCGGTTTCTATAAAAGCCTTTGGCCTTTTTCACTCGATGCATTTCAGGGCTAATCATGTTAGTGTGCTAACCGGCTTCAGACGCCAGATTCGATTGCAGGCCGCGTCTAAAAGCAGCAGACTAATCGATCCAAACAGGTTTGTGCTGTGCATTTTTCCAAATGATCCGAGGACAGCGGCATTCCTAATTTAAGCTCCGTAAATAGATCCATCACCATCAGTGTGGCCGTTTCTGTAACACCACTGTGCAGGATTCAGTGAAGCCAGGATAAAAACTGAAAAGTAATCCCAAACCAGTGACAGAAATCAACTTTTCTATTAAAGAGCGAAATTTACCTTCCCCTGTTTTGACATGGAAGAGATACAAAAAATGTCTAAAAACATAGTTTTCAGTAAGGGAACAAAACTTTGCAAGTGTTTTAAGACCCTCGAAATACACATAATTAATTTTTTGTTCAATTATCTGTGAAGTTATATTAGTGTCGGAAATCTTTTGTCAAATATATTTAGCCTTTTCCAATATCTCACATGCTTTTGGGACTGATATTTGTTGCTGAACATGAATATGTGCGCCTACGGATGAACCATTGCTGCATGAAATCACTTTTTTCATCTGAAAGTAAAAGTTTATGCATGTAGAATTCATTTATTAATTTAATAATTTAAATGTTCAGAGTAATAGTTATGTTGTTTGATATTGTTTTGTTACAAATAAATATTATAAATGTGGACTGTTTTTGAGCAATCATGAGTTATTAAGTCAAAGGAATTTAATTAAATTCCATTCATTCCAATGGGGTTAATACTGGGAATTCTCGGATTATATATTCTCAGATTTTGAATGCATTATGAGGGTTAAATTAATTTCCATGGGCATTTTTTCCTTTTAAGGGCGAATTTTCTAACCTTAGTAAAGTAGATGTGCATACGCTCATGTAAATTCTTAAATCTACTCAAGAAATGCAAACTGAATAATAAAACACAGCCAAATGAAATCAGTATCAATAAAATCCATATTTGCGCTGCAAAAGTGGCACACGAGCTGCATCTGATGTATTTATACAGACTGTTTAATGCAGCTCAGAGATGCCATGAATGCATTTACACTGCAGTTACAATTGCATTTTATGAGATTTTATGTTTTAAATATAAAATAGATTGAATATAGAACTGTGAAGTGATGCTTTAAATATGAAACTAAAACTGTCAGTAGGTGGAGGTGAGTCATTGAGTCAATTATTCACCCAATTTGTTCAGACTGATTCATTTAGGAATAAAGCAATGATTGCTGAATGATTGATTTGTTAAAAAATGATGATTGATACAGGAATGAAATGTGTGTTACACAAAAGTTCTGCTGTGGATTGGAACTGTTTGTTTTGGTGAAATAGAGCAAAAACAAACAATATGGACAACATTTTTTCTAAATATTAACTTGTTGTTTATTACTGAACTGTTGTGTAAAATCAGTGTCACATTTGCAAGTATGCTGCTATTCGGGAAAACGGCACACTTGCTTGTGTGTTATTGATTACCTGTACTGAAAAGTATGTATTTTGTAGAAATATAAAAAAAATAATAAAAAAAATCACATACATAGGTTTTTTTCTTAGGGGTCATCCTTACTATATTTTATTAGGCTACACCATGCATTATCGCCTGCACTATCAGTTTGTGTTTGGTTTTTGTGAAGTGAGTGACATAATATCAGCTTTCACATTGTTGAAACAACAGTTACGATGCATAGTCAACATATTACACAGCTCCTATCTGCT